AAAATATATGTTAACTTTAATGTGAATAGGCAAACTGTGCTAGATGGTACAATAACGATGGCTAGCCATATTGGAGCTCTCGTCCAACAGACAATATCCGTTAGCTACCAAAATTGGAGGAATGTTTTAGATGATTCAAATGAGTGCATGTGAGATTTAGTTATGGTAAGTTATAATATTCAAATACAAACTTTTTTATTTTAATATGTATTGTTTATGGATTGCAAGTATGGTCATTGTTGACAAATCTTTATTTAATCTTTTAGGAACACTTTGACATCCCATTTGAATATAAGAACTTTGTCTTGCAATTTGCTAGGTTAAAATTCAGAGACTTTAAATGCAAATTGATAACAAAATATATTTTACCATTTGCTAACCATGTTGAATTGTTGGCTTATCCTCAATCAATATATTCAAATGTTATCAATGATAAAAAGTGGACGAAGTTTGTATTAACTTATCTATTAGATGAATTGAGCGTATGCATATCAATTTTCTTTTATTTTTATAGTACATTGTTTAAGGGTGAGGTCTTTATTATTTTGTTATTGATTTTGTTTTGTTCTTTTTTTTTTTTGCAAAATAAAAAAAAACCCAAAAGAAAATACAAGCCCAAAAAGTGTATTGTCATTGAGTATAAAAAAAAGGATATGTAAATGTCAAGCATTAGCATATAAGTATTTTTTAACTAGATATTATACACTAGGTTTTCGATTACAATAAAGTTGCCAACCTATATTTTCATATTGGTTCAAGAAACATCCAGCTCTGACAACAAAACACCAAGATGGAATGTTTGGAAAAAAAATCATATGTCAAAATTTAGAACCTATGAGAATAAAACAACTGAACAAATGGCTAAAAGATGGTATGTTTGTTTCATATTTATAACTTGATTGTTAGTTCAGCATTTATGCATCTTAATATATTGTATTTATTGATATTTGCATTTTTTGTTTTAGGATGACATTTCTTTAAGAGTCAAAGCTGGTGAAATTCCCACTGGTGATGACGAATATGTTTTTATCTTAGTTTTTATAGACCTGGCTGTGTTAGCGTGGGCACATTGTTTCTCCACGAGAATATTTCAAAATTTAACCTAAACCCATACCTTTATTACAAAAGCTTTTATAACCATAATAAAGCAGCAGCAACAATAACAACTTGATGAGCAACAGCAATGAGTTGCAACATTAGAGGCACAATTGGTATCAATGTGAACTAACATGATCCTAGGTTATTTTTTTACTAATATTTCAGGAAATGAATTCATGGATCAAGTGTTTGAGCAAACCTTTTCTCCGATAATCATCGTTCTTTTGATTTTTGTTATTAGAATTATTTATTAGATATTTCTGTTTGATTGTTTGAAACTTTTATTTTTTTATGTAACAAGTTTTTCAACATCAAATTATCTCACTTATGGAATCTAGTATGCTTGTATTATCCAAATATGTGTCAACATTTAATAAGAGGTTCAGTCATTTCCATCAATATCGAGGATGGACTATTTGATTATCCTTCAGCATTATATTTTAGGTAGAAGGAGATTCTTAGATTTTGTGAGATGAGGGAGATATCAACTTTTTAAATTATTACATATATGAGGTTGGCTTATATATTTATTTAAATATGTATGATAAATATATTATAATATTTTATGTATAAGGGTATGATAATTAAATGTTTTTCTTCATGCAGCCTCCTTTATAGAGGTGTGAAGGAAAGATAAATGACTTGTACGTATAGATTCAATGATCCAAATCATATCAGCTATGGTGTTGGTACTTTAAATGTTCATGCTCGTTTGTTGGCTCAAGCAGTGCAAAGATAGTCTTAATACTTTCTAGCATTTTATAATCCAACCAATGTTAATTACTTTGTTAAATACTTGATTATGTTGCATATAAGGATTTTATAATTGTTGCTCATGTTACATTCTAACATTTCTAATATAACTATGATTTGCAATGGTCATTGGTAACTACTTGTCATTGAGTTAGCAACATTTATGGTTTACTTTTTTTACGTAGGAAAAGAAAGGTTAAAGCCTAAACCCAATCTTATCAATTTAGTAAAGAGGTATTTATATTTATTATGTGAACTGCTCTATAGTTTTTATGAGTATAATATATGTTTATGATTTCCTTTGTATTGTTTCTAGGGATTAGATGGTGTTAATAAAAACAAAAATATAAATTGGGTTACATTTCTAATATGTGTAAAATATATTATTTGTTTTATTTGTTTAAAAGTAACATTTTGACTAACTAAAATTTCTTTATAGGTTCCTCTTCAACTAGGAATGATAGAATGAGGATTTTATGTTCTCTATTTCATGAAAGAGATTGTTGTTAATGATCTTATAAGAACACTAGATAAGGTTAGCATAAACTTAAACTACTGATACTTGTTTATATTTTCTATAAATATGAATTGCAAATCAATTAATGATCATTCATTCTTTTTCTTTTTTATAGTAGGCTGAAAAGGTACAATTCACGCAAGGCAAAGTTAATGAAGTTCGTCATGAATGGTATGAGTACGTATGAACATTTGCACATGATGATTGAGGATTATGAGTAAAAAATAATGGCATTTATGTATAGAACAAAATATTCATTATACATAATACACATTTGTTATATACAAGTATAAATTGTATCATTTACACAAGTCCAAATTCATTATCTAAATATAAATAACAAAATTGTCATATCCATATATATTTCATGTGGCTATACGACTCAATCTATGTTCCATATTGTATCAAAATCTAAATTTAAGTTGTAAACCACATACATAAATTTAAAAAATGTAACTAAACAATACTTAACATATGAATGTTGTAAAGATTACAAATAAGTTACATATGTCTAGGAAGAAAAAAGTCAAAGAACGGATGATTGGCATGACATTCATGTAACTGTTTTTAGATGTAATCCTTTCTAAATGCATGTGAAAGTGCAAAGAATAAATCAACTTTGTGAGTATCTTTCACTATATACTTACCAATAGAGAGCATTTCATCAGTTGATAAATCATCAATTTTTATTATTTTATTGAAAATCAACATTCTTCTATCACTACTCAGCTTCTTTCTTGAAGAAAGATGCAATGCCTTTGATTTTGTTTGTAATATCACAATATGCATGGCTTTTATTGCCTATAGCTTCAAGCAAGTCAGATATTCCATCGTCTTTCCTAGAATGCTTATTGTTATAATATGTTCTAGTGGTGGGTCAATTTACCAGAGCAGTTGAACCTATTTTTTCATCTTCCTCTACTCTCTCTCTCTACATGTACATTATGAGGCTTAATCTTTAGAGAGTTAAAGTCAACATCTAAATCAACATCTAATGATTCAACTGCATTAGCTGCTGTTTCAGTTTTTTGACCAATTGCTTTGTTGGTTCCAAATATAGTCACAAAATCATCAAAGTGGAAAAAAAGTTTATTACTTAACCCTTTAACATATGGATGACTTTACATAAAAGTTAAAATAAATACATATAAAATATTTTAAATAGAAATCAATATTAAGTAACTTATACAGTATTGTAAACTACTTACCCAAACCCAATTATTAAAAATTGATTTTTCAATAGTGATACATTTTTCCACATCATTCCAATGAAATCCACTAACTAGTTATATATCACAAATAGCATGATACTGTTTTCATCGTATGTAAGCTTTTCCCAATATTTTATTGTTAAGTATAGTTATGATTTTTTCGGTCGATCTGTCTATTCAGCAAATAAATAGAAGTTCTATCTATCAATATGGATGGTCTTGGACCATCAATAATGATTTTTCTTTCGAGTTTGGCTACTTTATTGATTCACTTACCTCTATTATGTCAATATTAATCACTACTGTTGGAATTTTTGTTCTTATTTATAGTGACAATTATATGTCCTATGATTAAGGATATTTGAGATTTTTTGGCTTATATGAGTTTATTCAATACTTCAATGTTGGGAATAGTTTTTAGTTCGAATTTGATGCAAATTTATATTTTTTGGGAATTGGTTGGAATGTGTTTTATCTCTTAATAGGGGTTTGGTTCACACGACCTGTTGCGATAAACCTTGTCAAACAGTGTTCATGATACCGTCTTTTCAATAGTTAACCCTTGACTCGATATGCGGGGTGGCTTTAAAGTTGGATTGAGGAATTAGTAACTCTAACATCTTTTCAATATGTCCTAGATACCCCACTCTAAATATTCCATTACCAGCTTTCCATCAAGGATTATTTACCAAATAATGTAGGCATTGGACAAGATATGCATCCTCCTCTGTCCATGAATAATTATCTTTTGATGAGCTTTGTGTTTTTCTTGAAATATTTCTTTGAGGTTGAGTAGAAGTGGCATCAGATGAAAGCATTTGGCTATCCTAGATAAATTGGAGAAGTAGTGTGGTGAAAACTAAAAGGAAAGTTTCGACTTGTGCTGGCTTAGATTTTAACATGTTCCTTGCATATCTGATGCAAGCTTAATTCTGCTAAAGGGAGTTAGTTGGTTCTACCGAACAATAATAAGTCTTTAGAAGTTGGGTTCGACAACTATTGTTTTCCTTCCCTTGTTCTTTGAATTCTATTGAACCTCATCAATTTCTTACTTGGGTTTTGTATATATTTAGGGTTGAGAAAGAGAAAGAATCAGATTTTTTAGTTTTTAATGCTTATTTAGAATGAAAACTATTTTTAAAAATTTTTAATCTGTTATTATTATTATTATTTTTAAAAATGACATGCCGTCTACTTGGATTAAAACATCTTGAATACGAAAATAAATTTAAAAGAATCTTTTTGAGAATAAAAATTCTAAACGACCTTAGTCAAAGAAAAACTCGCTCTTCATACTCTGTTTAAGGAAAAAAGATTAAAGTGCCTTGCTTTGGGAATAAAGATTTTAATATACACTGATATAGTAAAAAAACTCATAAAATCACAACAAAATAAAAGTTAATTAACGCACGTGAGATAACTACACTTAACAAAATGGATCAAAATGAACGAGAGGAAGGCATTGAAGTGGAGAAGCCATGGCTAGAGACATGCCTATTGCTTCTTGCATATTAACTTTAGCAGAATCTCCATCTTCACCAATTACTTTCAAATCCAAACACTGAATCACAGACGCAATTGCAGTATTCATTAATATATAGGCCAAATTCTTACCAGGGCACCCTCTTCTTCCACCTCCGAATGGAATAAAATCAAAATTTTGTCCCTTAGTTTCAATTTTAGAGGTAGCTAGGTCTAGGAATCTCTCAGGGCAGAACTCATTTGGTTTTTCCCATATTGTTGGATCTCTCATGATGGAATAGAGATTAACAGCCACTGGAGTGTTTTGAGGTATATCAAAGCCATTGATTTTACAGTCTTTAATGCACACTCTAGGTGCAAAGGGCGCATTGGGATATAATCTTAGTGTTTCCTTGGTAATGGCTTGCACATAATGAAGGCTTCGGATATCTGTCTCTTTAACTAGTCTGTTTCTTCCAACAACTGACTCTATTTCATCTCTGGCAATCTTGTAAACACTAGGATTATTGATCAGCTCTGCCATTGCCCATTGCATGGTTTCTGCTGTGGTACTAGTTCCCGAGAAAAAGAGATCCTACCATCCCCACCGCCCCCGGCCCCAACAAACAATGATGAGTACTTAGTAGGAATGAGATGTGCAAAATTATCAAATTAACTCCTAAAATAATATGCATTAGTCTCTAGTTTTCCCTACCTAATTTCAAGTACAGAGAAAGGATAGAAATAATTAGAAAATAATCAAATTTATAATGGAATCATGGAATATTATAACTTTTTTTTTGGTAATAGATGACAAGTTTTTCCAGAGGCATAATCCATTTCTCAAGCGATTTTAAGAGTGTACTCTTTCACATATTGGTCTGATACATTTATGATTCTACTCCCAAAATGCTGTCACTACAACTGAATCTTGGTTGACGGAATATTGTTCTTAGCAATTATGTATGGTTTCTCGACTTTATTCTTCTTGTATTTCCTAGCTAGATGCTAGGAAGCATCATAATTCTAATTCCATTCTACTTATATATGAATCAAAGAGATTAATAGTAGTGTATGAGCATGAGGCATAGAGGTTTCCCTGCCACAAGAATTCAATATAAACTTCTAGGTTTCCGGTGTATATGTAATGTAATTAAATTGGTAAAATTAACAATAAGGAGGGAAACGAAATTGGAAAAATATCTTACCGCAATGAAGGATTTCATTTGTTCTCTGGTAATCCTCAACTCTGCAGTGTCATCATGGCAAACCTTTAAAAGAATATCCATAAAATCCTTATTATCATCACTTCCATTGTTCTTTGCTTTGTCTTCATGCTTCCTCAATAGCTTCTCCATTAACTGATCATACCTTGCAGTCACGTCCTTTGATTTTTTTGCATATAACCAAAATCCAAGTTTCTTAAATGGTCCCAATGAATTAGCAAAACTCATCTTTCCGGCCAACTCACAAGACATCTTTAAAAGCTCTCTAATCCTCTTTGCCTCATCATCTTCATCCGAACAGCTCGTACTCGCCACCACCCTGAAGGTGTCAAATTTAAAAAAAAAAAAGAAAAAATAACAGTGAAATCAATTGGCAATAATTAGTGATTACATTCATATGCCTTGGAAGAATAATGAACGTAATATATGTAAGCAAAGCAGTTTCTAAATTCTAATATATCATATTAAATTTTAAGATGCATATTAAACTTTGAATTTTGAATTAATTTGCAATAAGTGAAGAAATCAATTTTAATTAATTTTGGATTAATTATCACAATTGAAACACTTAGCACTTAACGCCTACAATCTCACTTATGGTGTATATGTAAGACTTGAAGTGATCCTCATACTGCGTGTGATGTACTATAAAAAATTTCAACTTTTTATTACATTATTAAATCCCTAACCTGCAAATAATATTATTTGTAAGCTTCATGAGCTCGGCGCCCACATCAACAACCTCAGTTTTCCTAGCACTTTGAATCATCTTACTCAAAAACCTGGCAGTTTCTTGGTGCCGAACAGTGCGAGATCTTTCAATCTGTTGTGTTCCAAGCAATTCAGTGACACTGAGTTTCTTCATGAACCTCCAGTAGTCTCCATAGGGAGCGGTGACGAAGCCAGTGTTTCCAAAGATTAAGCAATCATCCAAAGGAGATATCGGCCGAGATGCAAAGTTAGCATCCTGGTTCTTGAAGATTTCTTCAGCCACTGAGGGCGACGAAACGAGAAGGCAGGGATAGGAGCCAAAGCGGAGATAGAGTAGTGGACCGTATTCACAGAAGAGGTTGTGGAAGGATTTATGTAACAATAATGGCCTGAGATGGTGGAGATGGCCAATGATTGGGAGGGATGGTGGGCTTGGAGGAAGGTGTAGGATGGCGCTTGATTTTCTTGGTTTGTTGAAGATGAATCGAATAAGGAAAGCTGAGAAGATCCATAGGAGGAGGAACCATAACATGTAGTTTTTGATTTCAGAGATGGACCTCATGCTGTAGTTGTTTTCAAACTTCTGGAGATACTGGAATAAAGTTATTCTTACTTATAGCAAGTTTAAAGTTTTATTTATTATTTTTTTTTACATGAAATTTTGGGTGATTCACTCCGAGACAATAGAAGATGCTGTAACATCTTTTAGAAAAGAAATAGATGAAGGTTTTTTAGGAGAATTTTTAAAAATTTTTCGTCATTAAATAAAAATTAAAATAAAAACTTAATTTAAATTGAAAACTTAAAACGTCTTATTATATAGATAGTTTTAAAATTTTAATAAAATTTGATATAATTTAAGATAGCTATTTTTAATTAAAATTTTAATAGAATTTTTATTATAAAACAAGTACAGATTAAATTTGAAGTATAAATATTATTTTTTATATTTTTTTTACATATTATTAATCTTTTTATTGAAATCTTTTAATCTATTAATTTAAAATTTTTATTAAAATTTTAATTAAATCATTTATATTAAAGAATTTCATAAATTTCACCTAAACAACTTCATCTAAATTTTTTTCTATTTTTTCATCATATAAATCTCATTCCATCCATCTCTAGATTCAAACATGAACCTGCAAGTAGATGTAGACGTATTAAATTTAAATTAATGGAATAAAAACAAATGGGGAAATTTGGCCTGCCTAACCAACTAAATGCTAGAGAATTTTAAATTAAAGATGGACTAGTACTTGAGGATTATGAAGAAGCAACTAATGGCAACAATTATGATTGAGTCGTTGCCACCTGTATATATTATGGGTGTGAATCTATATTATTGCACTTGGACATACAGAAGAGAATTGGAAGATATTTTAAGATGGCCGGCGTCTCTGTCTCACACCCAATCTTTTATCATGATGGCCTGCATCTTGTGTTTTATAAGGGCATTCTTGGTTTTAATTCACTCAAGTTCCAGGATCCTTGTGTTGAAGCTAGGAAAATTAATATTACTATCTTTTCAATATCATAAAATTTAAGTATTAGTTTCATAAAATATTTACTCAAACTAATGATAATTGATGAATGTGCTGTTAGATTTTTTTTTTTTAAAGAAAGTTATTCTATATAAGAAGTTTTTCTTTTCTTTTATGACAACAAAGTTATTATTATTGTACCAAAATAAAACATTATTATCATATTATATATAACTATATATAATTATTACAAAATACAAGATTATGGGATAAGGTATATATGCTTATGCGAATATTTACATGATAAGTTGATAATCCAATCTTCATGACACATAAGCTAATGTATAAATTTATGAAATTTAACATATTTAAATAAAAGATCAAATTTGAATACTATTGAGTCTCTTCGAGCCTAGGGTTTTATAAGAGAGTTTTCTTTGAGTTTTGACAGTTACAAGAGTCTAGTTTCTGTTTTTTCGGATAGAGGTTTACGTCTAAAGTATCCAGTGGTTTTTAAGTTTTAAAAGAGAGTTGTGTATTCTGTTGGGGTGGAAATGGCAGAGGAGTTGGAGAATATGTGGTCAAAGTTTACGCTTATTGAACAGGAGAAGGAAAGCATGAAAATAGTAGATTTGCCGGATGGTACTGATCCTTTAGAAGAATTCTGGGTAGTGGGAGAGTTATCATCCAGTCGAGCGTTCAACATGGAGGCCATGATCAACACGCTCAGAATGATATGGAAACTATCTGAAGAGATGAAAGTAACGGTGTTGGAGACAAACTTGTTCATATTCAAATTTGGCACAAAGAATGATAAATGAAGAGTGCTAGAAGGGTCACCATTGACTTTTGAGAAAAACTTGATTGTTTTCAAAAACTACAATGGAGAACTGCGACCATCTGATTACAAATTCGATAAGGCATAATTTTGGATCAGGATTTATTGGTTAGCTATGAAACTAACGAACAAAGACATGGCGGAAAGAATCGGTAACATGGTTAGACATTCATGCAAGAAAATGCATATTAATTAATAAACCAAAGAAGATGAACATATAATTAGTGCATGAAGTAAACCAAATGACATCGATAACAAATCAAATATTATTGCAAATAATAGTCATTAATATTGTACACTCATCAAGGAAAAATTAAAGAAAAAATATAACAAGAAAACATAAAAAACAAATTTTACACTCTATTATAGTATACAAATATAAATTTAACCAATACAACATAAAGACAAAAAAAAAAAACTAAAATGTTCTTAACTTTGGGATTGTAACAAATTAGTGAACATCTTATTTGTCAGATTATCTCTAAACTGAGTCCAAGCATCACTTTGCTAAATATATCTAATTAAATCTTGATTTTTAGATCCATCTAGTCGGTTACGACTCTTTTCAACAACATCAACTTTAATTGGGTTGATTGCCATCTAAGACCTAATAAAATTATAGGGAAGACAGTAAGCAAAAATGATTTTACATTGTGTTTTTATTGGATAAAATGATTTTTCCCCTAAAATTGTCCATCCAGCTTTCAATATACCAAAACATCTCTCGATACAATTTCGTGCTTGAGAGTGTTTCATATTGAAGTATTTTTAGGGTGTCGTCGGTTAGTGTCCTAACCTCCAATAACTCAGGTGGTATCTTTGACCTCTATAAGGTGTCAAAAAACTTCTATATTTGTGTATCTGGTATCACACAAATAATAATAATCTATTCCAGTTTCACAACATTAATACAAAAACAAAAATTGTGTTCCATGCAAAACTAAAACCAATATATTCAAACTAATACCTTATGGATCCTTAACCCATTTCTGCATGTAATGGCATCCTTTAGTACTCTATCATCTATTGTAGAACTTTTTCAGCTAGATAGAACATATATGAATTGCATTTTTGGTGTGCAAATACTAAGCACATTGTTAGCAATTTAATTTTCTTTGTCTTGTATCTAGCCCTATCAACTGAGTTTACATCCTCCTTTATGTATGTTCCATCTAAGGCATCCAAATAACTCTTGAACCATTTTCATCTATTACCTATTGAATTATCTGGTATCGATTCGGGCTTTTTAAACAATAGGGAATGGAGTCTCAAAATAGAATTCAACATAGCATGAAATTGCCTAGTAATTGTCTTTCAAGATCTGACAACTTGACGCTTTATGACCCTATTTTTTGTATGATGGGCAATGATATAGATGAAGCTACTAGCAAGTTCTTCTATTTACATATTTATAAATGCCTATAATCCTTCCCGTAATTGAAAGAAATGACACAATTTTGCAAAAGTTCTCTTATCCATTTTACAATTATCTATACACTATCTATCATTTTAAAAAATTATTACATTTAAGTTTAACTCTTTAATCTGTAGCATATCATAATGGCTACCAGCATAAAATATTCTACGTCCTTTTTTATGTTTCATTGCAAGTAATGTCACTGCAACAATAATTAACAGGTATAACATAGTTCTTATCTGGTTCAAGTGCAAAATAACCATTGTTGTCATTTGCTTCTTCTTTCTTAGTGATAAAGGAGTCATAACTGTATAGATTAAACATTTTGGTCAATATTGAAAACATGTGTCAATAGTAAAAATTTCCATTTCATACATGGAAACTAAAAAACAACCAAAAAAATGATAAAAAAACACAAAAAATTGTAACAACAAAACATATATGGATTAAGGACTAAAACCAAAATAAAGAATGCATATGATAGATCCACATTTTTTCAATAAAAACCAAAATGATATATACACAAATAAAACAAGTACACATTCAATCAAGTTAATAATGCAAAACAAATCTTGATTTAGTCATGATAAGTAGACACACCATTTGTTGATAAATAAAAGATAAACTGAATAGGGCAAAGATGAAATCAAAGTTTGTAGCTGATGCTGGTTGAAACAGAGATGTCTATGCTAAAGATCTTTGGATATTGTCTGAAAAAAAATGATGGTCTTTGTTATTCAACAAAGTTAAAGGCTCTAATATTGCATTTCTTATGTCAATAACATAGTAATTTATTCTTAATAAAATTGGGCTTTTATTTGATTAGACATATGAATGTTTGTAATATCATAAACTTGATTTTCGAGAGGGAATTCTCAATTATTATGTTTGTAATCAAAGAAATGCAGTAAATAAGATCAATTACTGCATTATATCATCCTATCATAGTATTCTAGTAGAACAATAATAAAAAATATGACTTGTCAATTACAACATTTACTTAAATAAAAAAACAGTAATTAATAACAAATAATGTGTTAAAATTTGTAAAAATTTTACAAGTTATCAATTACTACGTTATCAATTAAACATAGAAATTGAGTTCTTTATAAAAAAAACAATTGATAAGAATAAACAATTACAATTAAATACTATGTTAATTTTTATAATAACACAACAATTGAGTGTGTTATAAAAATAATTGACAATAACAAACAACTACAATAAAATATTACGTTAACTTTTATTATAACACAATAATTGAGTGTATTATAAAAAATAATTGACAATAATAAATAACTACAATGAAATACTACTTTAATTTTTATTAAACATAATAATTGAGTGTGTTTGTTTATTGTGTTAATTTTTCAAATTTTAGAAAAAAAGTCATCACAATTATTGCGTTTGTTAGAAACAAACGCAATATTTGATGTTTGAAAAAAAAAAAGAAACTAATCATACTTTGATTTTCAAAAGGTTAAGAAAGATATAAAATATTTTTTATTCAGGTCAAATGTGAGACAAAAGTAATTTTCCCTTTGGAATCTTAAAAAATTATAAGGAGAGGTAGGTTTCTATTTCTTGAACTTTGTATACGGCTGAGAATCTAAAACTACCCCCAGGAATCTGATACTCCAACTAAACATGGGAATTTGAATACCTAACAATAATATTTCGAAGGAGAATCTCATATTCCCCCCAATCAAATGCTTTCTAAATGTAACATTTATAGGTAGGAAATCAGTGTTAAAATAATTTGGTCAGATTTTAGGTTCATTTGGATGAGTAGTGAAATTAGCTCTGTGAAATTGAAAATATTT